ATTTAAGTCTGAATTTGGCAATAAGGAGTTCATGATCTGAGCCACAGTCAGCTCCCAGTCTTATTTTTGTTGACTGTATAGAGCTTCTTCATCTTTGACTGCAAAGAATATAATCAGTCTGATTTCGGTGTCGACCATCTGGTGATGTCCATGTGTAGAATCTTCTCTTGTGTTGTTGGAAGAGGGTGTTTGCCATGAACAGTGCATTCTCTTGGCAAAACTCTATTAGCCTTTGCCCTGCTCATTCCGTACTCCAAGGCCAAATTTGCCTGTTACTCCAGGTGTTTCTTGACTTCCTACTTTTGCATTCCAGTCCCCTATAATGAAAAGGGTGTTAGTTCTCAAAGGTCTTGTAGGTCTTCGTAGAACCGTTCAACTTCGGCTTCTTCAGCGTTACTGGTTGGGGCATAGGCTTGGATTACCATGATAGCAAATGGTTTGCCTTGGAAACGAACAGAGATCATTCTGTTGTTTTTGAATGGTTTGCCTTGGAGACGAACAGAGATCATTCTGTTGTTTTTGAGATTGTATCCAAGTACTGCATTTTGGACTCCTCTGTTGACTATGATGGCTACTGCATTTCTTCTAAGGGATTCCTGCCAACAGTAGTAGATATAATAGTCATCTGAATTAAATTCACTCATTCCAGTCCATTTTAGTTCGCTGATTCCTAGAATGCTGACATTCACTCTTGCCAAGCTATTTCTTAGAGAGCAATAACTGGGAACTGCAGAGTACAGGGGAATGCTTAGAGAGCAGAGAGAGCTGGTGAAGGTGGATCTCTTAATTCTGAGAATGAACTGACACAAGTCCCAGGCTTACTCCTGAACTAAGCATGTGTGACAAACTCAAAGAACTGTAAGAAAGGTTTTTTAAAAAATAAAATATACTCCACTGCCCAGTTCTCAAGCTAACTCCTGAATGGTTCATGTGCAGGCAGATCCAAACACAATAGCAAAGGCTTTTCACCATCCATATAAAGTGAGACAGAATTTTCAACATGAATCCAATCAGATTGGTTGCTGAAACCAATCTGATTATAACTCTCTCCAGAGAACTTTAACAGAGGCCAGAGGTTTAAAAGATAATACTCAAAATGTCCAGGGCACAACATAGAAAAATCAAGAAAATCTGACCACCTATTTCAGAAAAAGAAAATCAACAGATGTCCACTCCAAGGTGATTCAGATATGGGAGTTGTCAGAAAATCAACATTAAGCAGCAATTATAAAACCATTCTCCATGAAATAAAGGTCAACCCTTCTGAAATAAAAGCAAAGATAGAAGTTCTTAGACAAGAAATAGAGCCATAAAAAATAGCTGAATATAAATTTTAGAACTGAAAATACTGCAACTGTAATTTTAAAATTCATTGCCTAGGCTCAAAGGCAAAATTAAGATGAAAGAGGAAAAATGTCAGTGAACTTGAAGATGGATTAACATAAACAATCTGAAGAACAGGATAAAAATGAGTTAAAAAAAAAAGTGAACATCAGAGACCTGTGATACATTATTAAAAGATGTGCAATTCATGTCACAAAAGTACCAGAAGAAAATGAGAAAGAGGTACAGAAAAAGAAAAAAATCTGAAAACTTAATGGTTAATCCCCAAATTTGGTTAAAAACATAGTTAAAAGAAACTCTTTTAACCCAAAAGCATAAACTAAAAAAAAAAAAATCCACATCCAGATACATAATAATCAAATTGTTGAAATTAAAGATAAAGAAAAAATATCTTCAAAGCATCCAGAGAATAAAAAATAACACATATAAGGATATATCAATTCAATGGTTGTGGATTTCTCCATAGGAACTATGGAGTCAGAAGACAGTGGAATAACAATTTTTTAAATGCTGAAAGGAAAGAACTGTAAATCCAGAATCCTATATCTAGTGAAAATATCCTTCAGGAATAAAGGTAAGATAAAGACATTTACAGATGAATGAAAGTATTAAAAAATTTTGCTAGCACACTTGATCTAAGAACTGGAACTCTGAACCAGTAACAATACAATGGTGATCAACACTTAAACTTACTATGAATCAACTGTTCTAAGCACTTAAATGGACTAGTTTACTTAATTCAAGAAGGTTGGCACTATTAACATCCTCATTGTAGAGATGAGAAAAAGAAATATGTGATATAGCTAGTAACAGAGCCAGAACAGAACCCAAGCAATCTGAGTTCAGAGACGATGCTCTTAACCATTACTTACTACAATATTCCAACTTGCTGGGGAAAAAAAAAACCTGGAAAATATTAAGCTAACCAAATAGATGGAAGCCATTTAAGCAGATTAAGTAACTTTAATTACTTAATTAAAGTAATTAAATAATATTATTAAATCATTAAGTATTATAGTATTATACTATTATTAATACTAGAGAGAAAAATAGGAAGGCAAGGAACCAACTTGATGTATTACTTTACCCTGAAAAATATTCTATTAAAACTAGGATGAAACATTGAGTTAGCAATAGTAATCATAAAAGTAAACCCTTTTTTTGGAGTACTTACTATGTGTCAGAAATTGTTCTGGAGCTGAGAATGCAAAACGAATAAGATAAAGCAGTTGATCTTAATACAAATTTGTATTTTATACAAATTAGGTAAAACAGATGAGAAAGTAAATGATTATAACATAGCATGTGCTATAACATAAGCATGTACAAAGCCTCAAGTACATACAAGGCAAAAAATCTATAGAAAGGAGGCATCAATCTAATCAAAGCAGAAAAAAAATAAACATAAAGGGAAACAGCCCATAATTCCTTTTCCATAAGTCATGTGGACTACTATCACTGTTTCAATTTTGTAAATAAACTCTCAGTTCAATAGTAATGGAAATAAAAGTCAGAAGAATCTGTTACCATGCTGTATATATGTTTTAATTTTCAAAGCCTTCAGCCTAAGAATGATGAACTCATTCCAAAATACTTAAAATCAGCTCCTATTAATTTATTTTCATTCACTGGGCAGGCCGGTACTCAGTAATTATGTGAATTTAGAAGGCAGAGGGGAAATTAATCCAGAAAAATTTTTCAATAAGGCAAAAGCACTGTTTCTATACTGGACCAGGAAAGCTACATTCAGTTTAAGAAGTTACCTTAACAGTTGTAAGGAAAAAGTTCTCCAGATAAACGGGGGATCCTGAAGGTAAGGACCATATCTTACTTTTCTTTCCACACTTAGTATTCCTAACGGCTAACACAAAGCCTGACAAATATATTATTTTGAATAATAATAATTCAAGAGTTTGTAGAATTAGATTTTTATTATAAAGTAATTAATAAGAGATGAAGTTTAATTCTATCTTGACTATATTCCTTGTATGCCAAGAAAGAGTTCTTATATTCAAAGACTACTACTTAATTCCATAGAGAAAAGGGGCCAGAGGTGACCTTTGATCTCCTATGGGTAGGTAATATAAGTAAGGGTGAAAAAAGAGAAGCATAAGAGAATCAGTGTAAGTTTGTTAAAGATTAGCATGGACTTTTAAATTAAAAAAATCAAGTTACTTAGTTCTTTTTTTGGTCGTCTTATATGAAATGTTACAGTAGAGTACTTGTAACAGGAAAGAAAGTACAGTAACTGATGACCCACTCACTTTTCCCTGTAGCTGTGCTTCAAGTGGCTGCCACTTACAGGATATAAACAGTCTAAGTAACAGAAAGGGCATTATAACTCATTCTATGCATTAAATGGATATACTTACTTTAATATTAATTTTGTAAACAGGATCAATAAACAACTATAAATAATGATAGAGAAATCCTGCCAACTATAAAGTTACTATGTATTTTTAGGTTGCTCTGAGATCAATTGTATAAATCAAAGGTCATTAAATCAACAGATTCTAAGTTGACAATTCTGTCTTTAACTTAAATGATGTCTGTTCTCATTAAAGGGGATTTTAATCTAATAATTACTAAAATAATAAAAAAAACTAAACTATCAAATTGAGGATGGATGTCACCATGTAGGTCAATGAATCATAGTTTTAAATATACTAATTTAATATACTAGCCTTTTCTGTTGACTCAGACAGTAAAGAATTTGCCTGCAATGGAGGAGGTCCAGGTTCCATCCCTGGATTTGGAAGATCCCCTGGATTAGGAAATGGCAACCCACTCCAGCATTCCAGCATTCCAGCATTCTTGCCTGGGAAAACCCATGGACAGAGGAGCCTGGCAGGTTACAGTCCATGTGGTTGCAAAGAGTCTGACACAACTGAGTAACTAACACTTTGAACATACATTATTGATTTTCTTTTCATGACCACACATCAGTATGCCTATTTACAAATGGAAATTGAGTTCCTAACTTGTAAAAACCTATTAAAAGACTCTATACTGCTTAGTTTTATTAAATTAGGATTTAATGACAACTAAGGAAAATTAATTGATGACTATAATCACAAAAAAAGAATATATTACATCTTAAAAACTGGACTCTTCTTGGGGTTACTTTCAGCAGTAATGATATTTTCTGTTTCAACATAATATGCAAAAAAATAAAAAAGGATAAAGAACTTGAAAGAAACTGTGGCCAAGATTTAGAGAGGATGCTGACACTTTGCGGGGCGGGGGGGTGGGCGGTGTGGCGCAAAATTAAGTGGTATGATTATAACGTTTCTTAGGTTTCTCAGTCTATTGTAGTGATTACTGGTATGGAATTAATTTTCTTTGCACCACTTTGGTGACTTTCTTACCTAGAGAGCATGCCCAGAGGTGTAACATTAAGTGATCCCATCAGCATTGCCAGGGCCATCCCTGGTGCTTCCCGTTCTATTACTTCTTTTGTGGCCTGTAATTAAAGATTAAATAGCAGACTGAGTGAAATTAACCAAAAATAAGGAAGGCAGAGTAGCAAAATTAACTTAAAAAATAAGTTAATTTATTATAGATCATGCTATCTATTAATATAAACCATACTTTGTAGTGCTCCAATTTTTTTTCTTTAAGGCTTAAAGATTCAATTCTTTGGGACCACTGAATAAAAGCTGAAAACCAGGATACTGAGGGAACTTTTATATTAGTAGATCTTTCTTATCCCTTATAACTCAGGAGTGTTTGATAGCAATCTCATCTTGCCTAATAACATTAATTTTAAAATTAAGCCTCAGATTGCTAAAACGGCTCAACAGATTTTCACAGAACAAGAAATCTGGGTATTTTTCTTTGCCTATTACTCTTGAAATAATTAGTCCCTAAAAACCTGAGAACCCCTTGCATCTTTCCTAGCTCTATGATTTTATGATATAATAAATGGAACTCAACAAATCATCAAGTCAATCTTCTCCATATTGGGCAGAAGAAAAACTCTAGATTCTTTTCCAAATCTTCAATATAAATTATATATCTGTTTTTTAAAAATAGATAAAACAGATATATTCCTTTTTAAGGAATTAATAAAGTGATAGGTTTTACGTATGTAAGTTTTAAAATAGGGCATTCTTAAGACAAGTATGGTTAAACGTGGAATAGGTATTGAAGGCAAGAAAATTTCATTTTCTAAAGGTCAACCGAAATATGTATATATTATCATAATGTGATGGTAAAGATAAGCTTTATACTAAAATTGGGAGTGAAGTACATGATTTAAATCATTTCTAATCCTCTTTTTACATATATAGCACGCTATAATAATTGGGAGCAACACAGGAAGAAAGCTTGCAAAATATATAGTAAATAAGAAGAAAGGCAAACAAAATAAAAAGCAAGTTATGGAAAATAGAGTGAAAGGTTGATATTTCAATATTTCATTAGAAGTAGAGTGATCATCCTAAATAAGGCCATTGCTCTAGGCAAACTTTACATTGATAAAGGTCTCATCTAGCCTAATAACCTAAATTTTAAAGTGAAGGTGCAGGTTGCTATAATAGTTCAATAGATTTTCATAGAGTAAGAAATCTGGGAGGAGCAGTTAAAATGTGTCACTATGTGTTACATCCAGTTGATGTTATAAATAAGTTTTTAAGATGCATATAAATTACTTACTTATATAGAATAAAGGATTACCAGAAATGATATAATCTACTGGTTCACTGAATCCAAGCATAATGTAATATTTAATACTGTCAGAAATTTTAAGGAAAAATTAACACTAACATAATGCTCTTCAATAAAACCTGCTTTAAAAATAAAGGACCAGCAGGAAGGAAAAATGGACATTCTTAAATTCTTAAGTTTGGAAGTTAAGCACTTTCATTAAAATATACAGCTAAAATTTGTTAAGCTAGTATTATACAGAATCTACCCCCATGTTTTCCAAATTCAATAAATCTGGTATGATTTTGAGGTCTCCAGGGAAGAAAAACTATTTCCATGTTAAAATTGCTTTACTGAAGTTTACAACTTCTTCTTAGAAACCTTAAAATCTTAAAAGTCCTAAAAAATCAAGGAAGGCATGTTACTGAGAACGATCTTAAAAGAGCTTTTTGCATAGAGTTTATATTGATTTCATTATCTGCTTGAAGGTCACTTAAGCAATGTCTGACATTTAATGAATTTGCAGGTCCACATAAAGATGATGTACTCCAAAGTAGAGTAGCATGCTTTATTTAAGGACAAGGAAGAAAATATCAACAGATAGCTAAGAGGAAGGCTTTTTCACTTAGATACTTCAAAGCACAGCATTTATCCATCCATACAACAAGTATTATTAAACACTGACTATGTACTAGGTAGAATTCTATGCAATGATGCTGCAATAGTGAATAAAACAAACTTATAAGGGTACATAAACTCACTGTCATCTAGTATGTGAAAAATTCAATTGACAAATTACATATGAGAATTACCTAAAAGACATACAATTCATTCATTTTTCTAGATCCTCTAAAATATGTCACGGAATTTGGCCAGACCACGGTGGTCTACTTGGAAAGGCTTGTCCCAATTTTAAAAGAATTGTTTTATTGGACTTTGCTTTTGTAGTATGCAGTGGGATACAATTAAATGGCTCAGCAAAATTCATATTTATTAGCAAGTATTTGAGGCCATTGCTCACCACACTACACCGAGGTCCTCTTCAGAAGAAATTCTTTCTTAAGTATCACAACTAGAAATGGGCATTCTTTTATGATACCAGTTTGTTTTTAAAATTATAATGATTGTGAATCAAGTTATCCTTGAGAACAGAGACAAATTTATGAATTTTTTTTAAGTAGGCTTACTGAACACATGGGGTTTCCCTGGCAGCTCAGACAGTAAAGAATCTGCCTGCAATGCAGGAGACCTGAGTTTGATCCCTGAGTTGGGAAGATCCCTTGGAGAAGGTAATGGCTACCTACAACAGTATTCTTGCCTGGCGAATTCCACGGACAGAGTAGCCTAGCAGGCTACAGTCCATGGGATTGCAAAATGTCAGACATGACTGAGCGACTAATACTTTCACTTTCACTGAACACAACCTAATTTCATCTTATTTTTCCTTGCCCTATTTTTCCACATTTATCTTATTAAAAGTTCTGCTGTGTTTTGTGTATTTGGCTAAGTCATCTTAAATATTTTACAATGTATTAGTAAATATATGGATGAGAGATGGATGAATGTATGTCTTCTTACACAGAGGACTTCCTCTTTTCCAAATGTAATTTAGGAGAGACAGCTAATTCTTTCTGAAGACTTTCTACAGAATATTGGCCTATAGACATAAATCTTATACAGCTGAGGACACAGGAGGAAAATACATATAGAGTAGTGATGTCACTAAAAGGCACTGGTGCTGAGTGAGGAGGGAGACTCTAGGGCTAGACACGAACCAACGCTTTTGTTTATATTTTCTTAAATAATGCACAAATACAGTTTTTCTCACATCTACATCAAATGTATCTTTTCCCTGTTTAGTGTAGCAAAATGATCAACATCTGTGAAGTCAGACAACACCACCACGTAGTTAAGGTCGTGAGAGTAAGGACTGGATCTGGTGAAGCCCCTACCATAGTGGCCAACACATAGAATATGTACTCAATCAATATTTGTTGAATAAGAGGAGTGAATAAATGAACTCATATAGGTTTGAAATCTGGCCTTATCACTTACTTGCTTTGTGAATTAGAACAAAATATTTTACCTCTCTGAGCTTCAGTGTACTTACAAACAAAATGGAGCTAACAATTAAGCATACCTACATTTTATGAGAATTAAATTATATAAGTAAATCACCTAGCATAGAGTAGGTATTCAATACTTGTCAATTTTCTCCAGGCCTCTGATTTCCAATCTTACATCTTCATAGTTTTTATTATACCAGTTAGAAAAGAGATACAATTAAAAAATCCAGAAACCAAACCTAGCAACAGTGGTTGAGAACCAAAGGTGAGGGGAAAGAGAAGAGAGAACAAGAACCCAAAAATTGGCAGTGCCGGGCAGGAAGATGAATACTGAAATCACGGTATCTAAAGGAACAAACAGCCAAATGAAGTAGAGATTGGAAGAATGAACAGGAGGGCACAAGCTGGGTAGAAACATTTGTGAACTATAAATGGGAAGGCTCAACTAGAAGGCAAAGAGCAGGAAAATAAAAGTTAATTTAGAATAAAATAAGAAAAAAATTTCTGTATAGGTTATTAGAAAATCCAAATAGAAGAGTGGTTCTAACAATTGTAGCTTTATTCCTTTGATCATATATACAAGGATGATACATATAGATAAAAGAAGGTTATTAGTATCTGTTAACAAGTAGATAACAAGCAATCATTGTCTATTCACAATCAATGGCAAAAGAGATGCCATTAAAAGTATGAAATCATTTTTCTTATTAACATTTAGCTTAAGTTGCTTCTCACTTTTTTATTATTAATTTTATTACCACATTCTTTTTATCCTTGAGAAATAATAGAAATTTATATTTTTACTTCAGATATAACCTTTTGTGCACTAGTAGATTCCAAAACAATGAGGTTTAATTAGATTTACCTACACTCTTTAAATAAGACATTTTATTTTTAACTTTTAGATACTTGCTAAAGTTTGAAGGTTACAACCTCCATGGAAAATCACTTATTGTGATCTTTTTCTTTTACCCTTGACACTTTGAAGATAACATTAGAGTCTAAAAGATGCTTCAAAGACTGCTCAAGTTGCACCAAAAAAAAGGGTGTCATAAATAATGATTCTATAGCCCAGGGAACTTGTCAATGAAGTTTGGGTCCATTTTTACCTTCACAGAAAAAATAACCTTGAAAAATGTTATTGCTAACTGGCAATGATGTTTAAGTATGCACAGAACACACAATAGGTAAATGTAAATGTGTAGAAATTCCTTGTATGCATGGTGGTAGTGAAAAATCACTCAGTAGAGTGCTTTTACTTATTTTTATAGACATACTTTAGTTAATAGGTATAATTTGTACATAAATATTTACATAATTGTTACTTGAGTATACAATTTCCTAACAACTACTACAGAGGCTTCTTCTAATTAAACAATTTTAAATAACAAAGACTATCTTTGAAACACTAGCTAACAAGTACTAATAAACTTGCTAAGCTATGCAGGTGGAATATGGTTACAGCAGAGGTTCTCAAACTTTAGTGTGCATCAGGATCTCACGGAAACCTTGTTAAACAATGACTGCTCGGCCATACCCAGAGATTTTGATTCAGAATGTATAGCCGGGGTCTCAAATTTTTCATTTCTAACAAGTTTCCAGGTTATATTTGTGATCCTGGTCAGAGGACTATACTTTGAAAAATATACGGCAGACAGGAGAAATGAGACAGATTAATGATAACGTGCACAACTTGCTGTAATATTCATAATCACCTTATATTCAATTTTGTAAAACAGACTGAAATAAA